GTTACACCGGTAAAATATAGATACATACCGTTACACCGGTACAATGTAGTTACATACCGTTTCAACGGTACAATGTTGAGATACATACCGTTACACCGCTACAATGTATATACATACCGTTACACCGGTACACCAAGTCTGACCAGATGACCATTTCCTGTGAGAAACAGAACACTCCGAGCTTGCCCCCACGCAAGGTGTTGTCAAATATATTTCCGGAGTCGGCCACCAGACTCGCCTCCTCAAAGAACAAGACCCTGTGGTGTATAACAACAAATGCTATGGCACCGAATATGACCGAGTAAAAGCACATGTAAGAAATAATAAATAAAAACTACGAAATAAGTACAGTTTCTATTTTTCCTATTGAGTTTGGACTTAATTACAACTATACCGAGTGTGTCTGACTGAAAAAAAGTATGACGAATGATAAGTGTGTTTGACTTTAAATTACGGTCCACGCAGCGATTTTCTCTAGAATTTAAAGATATGTTAACCACACAAAGAATACATATGTAGCATGATTTATAGGCAATACAAACTGGTGGACTGTATCTATAAAGTATAACACGAGGAACGTGATGTTATGTTAACTATAAAGTATAACACGAGGAACGTGATGTTATGTCAACTATAAAGTATAACGTGACTTTATGTCAACTATAAATTATAACACGAGGAACGTGATGTTATGTTAACTATAAAGTATAACACGAGGAACGTGATGTCATGTCAACTATAAAGTATAACACGAGGAACGTGATGCTATGTCAACTATAAAGTATAACGTGACTTTATGTCAACTATAAATTATAACACGAGGAACGTGATGTTATGTTAACTATAAAGTATAACACGAGGAACGTGATGTCATGTCAACTATAAAGTATAACACGAGGAACGTGATCCCCCGTCAACTATAAAGTATAACGTGATGTTATGTCAACTTTAAAGTATAACGTGACGTTATGTCAACTATAAAGTATAACACGAGGAAGGTGATGTTATGTTAACTATAAAGTATAACACGAGGAAGGTGATGTTATGTTAACTATAAAGTATAACACGAGGAACGTGATGTCATGTCAACTATAAAGTATAACACGAGGAACGCGATGTTATGTCAACTATAAAGTATAACACGAGGAACATGATGGTATGTCAACTATAAAGGATAACACGAGGAAGGTGATGTTATGTTAACTATAAAGTATAACACGAGGAACGTGATGTCATGTCAACTATAAAGTATAACACGAGGAACGTGATGTCATGTCAACTATAAAGTATAACACGAGGAAGGTGATGTTATGTTAACTATAAAGTATAACACGAGGAACGTGATGTCATGTCAACTATAAAGTATAACACGAGGAACGTGAAGTTATGTCAACTATAAAGTATAACACGAGGAACGTGACGTTATGTCAAGTGCTCATTTGAGCACATTTTTTACTCCAGTTTTGATAAAGAACCCAGTACTGGCATCACAGATCCCATTAAGTAAGAACATATTTGGTATCAAAATGATCAACTGCACATTAGAAGCAGCATCATAAGGAACAAAATCAACTTTAGATTAAAATAGTGATTTTTCAGGCTCTTGAGTAAGGATAACTAATTTTTCTGACCAGGAGTACTTCAAGGAGCTCCCATTTGTCCAAATAAGTCTTAAGGGAGCCGAGTTCATCAATTTCAATACTGAAAACAGTATAGCGAAGCTGTTTCAAATTTTAAAACAAATTGGCTGCGTGGGCCGACCATATGGGATTTTATCATTGGAGTGGGCCCCACCGAAGTTTGAAATACGTCAATTACCGAATAAGTCCGATTTCCGGACGATGTATAAGTTCCCATCGATAGGCGGTTTTTTCCTTCCATCCGATGTTACGGGGGTCAACCCAGAGCAGCTTCACCTGTAAAACGCAAAAGATATATGTACATGTACCCGCACCGTATATTAAAAAAAGGGAAATAGATCTACATGTATTGTCAATAATCTTTAAGAACCAACCTGTTGTAAGGGAAGAAGTCAAACCATTAAACTTTAATGAAAAACGAATAATCTATCTGAAATAAGACCAAACATGGGTAAGTAATGTTTTTAGGGTAAATAGTTATTGCCATCGTACAATACCCGTTTACCTGTCCTTTGGTATCGCCAGTGTGCCAGAGGGCGTTACGGAGAATTTCACCCGGCCCCGTCTCCGATTTGACGAGTTTTAGTTGTATACCCGGCTCGGCTACCGCCCTGAACGGCGTCGGATGCCAGTAAGTCTGGGTAGCTTTCTTCCACATAACAACATAGAAGTGGGCGTTGTCTTGGTAACTGAATATGAATCCGGCGTAGTCGTCGTCTACCTCCGAGTTGATGAAAAATGTTCCACTGAAGTCGACTCCGCTAAATTTTGTATAACCTGGATCGAACGGGATTAAGACATTTATTGTAACGGAAAGTATGTTATTTTCATACGAGTATGTAATTAATTAAAATCATGATAAAATATTTCTGTTAAAAAAATTCAAAAGCTTATCGCATGTCTTTTTGTATTTTGCGGAAGATTAAACAATTCATTTTCGACTTTCATGTTTTGATTCAAATCTGCACACGTGTAAAATTTGTGCTAGGCCTATCATAGAATAACTCAATATAAGACCAGTATGTTTTCACCAGGTAGCCTCAGTAGCGCTTTAATCCAAATTACAATAATTTGTTATCCAAGTGCTATAGAGAATCACTCCCACACAGACATGAAGTAGAGAGATGACGTACTGACGGCTATGCCAGGATCACTGTTCATGGTCTGGACTATCTCAGCTCCCTGGGGACCAAATGTCATATTATGGAAAATAGGAAAAAAATATGAGACATACAAAAGGTCAAAATCTGAGGTCAATCCATCATAAGATATAGATCTACAGCGAATATACATAAGTCATATCTGCAATAAATGAAAACGTTGTCAGGTAGGTTACATGCATCTTTTATAAAGCGATGATATCCTTCCCATTGTCTTGATGGTTTTTTCATAATGTACAAAACAGTACAGAATCGTCAATGATTTTAGAATACAACTTATTCGACGAGTCTTCACGTTTAAAAAAGTTCTAGGGCTAGAATGATAATGATGTTTATATTAATGGCCAATTTCCCGACTTCCTGCGTATTGTCAACTGAGCAACATTTATCAAAATTCACATACAAACAAAATGTACACATCTGGGATCTTTGCTGTTTGCTGTCTCTTAATACACATCGCTTAATGTTAGCTACTGTGGTGACAAATATTACGTCAAATATGAACTAATGAGTAATTTATTACTAAAGTTCGATACAAAAAGATCATGACATTAACAGGATTCGAACCCGTAACTTTCAGCAACTTCAAAATTCGTTAATGAATTCAGATTGCCTCTGTCTTTGACCTTTGACACCGTACCTCGTTGAGGATGACCCAGTTTGGGTCTATCTGTGAGTCTCCCACGGGGTCCAAAATAATAGTATGGAAGGCCCGGAAGTCGGTTGAATGGATCTGTCCATTGTCTGGGCAGACATCTTCTGCATCTGGGTACCCATCGCCATCACTATCATACTGACACGCGTCTCCGATGAAGTCGTCTGGTGAGTGAAAACAAAATGGTGATGGGGGTAAAAAAATATATATATTTAAATACACTATACTTCATTTAACTGCCATCAGGTGCATGTATGATATACGTGTATAAACGAAACGGCATACGTTAAAAAACAATTGATATCATTATTTACAATCTTCTTTCCTGATAAGCACATGCTGTCTTCCGTTGAAAGCTTAACGTTGTTGTGCTATCATGTCATATATGGTACTAAAAGGTGACAGAATCACACATATCAAATGATCACACTTTTTAATCATACAACATTCGATTTCTATATCTGAATAATGATTCTACATTTTCCTGTATTACACAAAGCATGACTGCTTACCGTCCGTATCAGTCTGGTCAGGATTGGCCACCAGGGGGCAATTATCTTCTTCATCAAGTACGTCATCATTGTCGTCATCGTCGTCGCACGAATTTCCTGTCGGGTTGAAGGTCGTAATGAATCAATGAATATGAGATCTTATCAACAAAAATTTGAATTTCGTTATCTAAGGGGAGACCAAGATTGTTCTACAGTCCCCCTTGCTGCTAGTCTTTAAAACCATCCTCATCAATAAATATAATGCGTTTGAGGAGAGAGTCGAATAGACCGTTGATCTATCATCTGAGCAGAAACTAGTACTGGTACCGATAATACCAGGGATTAGTAGCGGTACTAGGGGGGATTTAACTGTAGCAAGTATACCTGATATAGAATAAAACAACCTTAGAGGAGAGGAATTATTATATAAGCTTATAGCTTGTTTTCCGATCCTCGTTGTATCTGTACTGTATTGTAATGTAGTGTGCAAATGATGAAATAGAATATTGTTTAAACTATAATAAAACAAGTCAAGAGTTACCTACCATCTTACTCGCCTTTGAATCAACCAAAAAACAAAACGTTCTGAACAACGGTAGACAAATGGCTAAAAAAACTATCAAAACAACAATGTCAACCTGCGTCGACCTACGCGGAGTTTCGAGAGTTGATCGGAGACTATAAGCTTACATCCAATTTCCATGGAAATGTGCATTCTGTGTTTGGAGGAAAACATTTACGGTAGCCGTTTCAGCATTAACAGTTATCAACAATCTCTGACATCACTTCCCAAACCAGTGAAACGACGTAGGACTATCGAATAACACAGTGATAGACAGTCTCAGTGAAGCTGTTGACACCTCACAACTCCGAGTAGTGTGACGTCGAGGTATGTCGCGCGCATTGACATAGCGTGAACCGTGTGAACTTGTCATTTTGTTTTGTTAAAATAATTCTCCAAATTTCAGCTAAAGCTCTATATTTTTACAAAGCGCATTGAACAAATGGGTTAAATATTAATATTTATCCGTGTTGTTTGAATGATTAAAAAAAAGTGACTATTTGTTACAGCGCAGATAGATCTGACCTACATTTTGATAGTAGTGCTTTGGTCATGACATCATGAAAGGTCAGTATTTCAGTTATATGATAAAAGGATCTTGCATTCGTTTCCATGGCATATAGGATTTATGAAACAAGTCACGAAGTTTTCATTTTAGTTCGCCAGAGGCTCGCTAAAATGATAAATTCTTAGATTAATTTGAATTAGGAGTAAATTATGTATTACTTACACGACCTCATGATGTACTAGTCATCATGTGTGTGACTTTTTATGTACTGGTTTTATGAGCTAACTACTAGTCACATGACATTTTTATTAACATAATGTGGTAGTCACATGATAATGACATGGTTTTTTGTTATAAGACATCAATATAGCTATGTACTACATGTACTAGCAGCATGGCATCATTTTCACATGTAATTCATGTGACTTATCTACCAGCCACGTGACATACCTTTGCCGTCCCCGTCCGTGTCTGTCTGATCCGAGTTGGCTATATCCGGGCAGTTATCGTCGGTATTTTGCACACCATCCTGGTCACTGAAAGATACACGTCAGAAAGTCAGAGGTCATCCGCGGCACAATGTGGAGTTACCATGGTTGAAGGCTAGTAGCGTCGGAATTTGAATAGTCTTAACATAAAGTAACTGCCGTTACTTGCAGCACAACATGTGACAAATTAACGTGACAAACAAAATGGACTTACTCGTCCGCGTTGGTGTCACACAGGTCGCCAATGAGGTCGTTGTCGGAATCAATCTGTGATCGAGACAAAAACACGCCAGTAAGTTATTGTTATTCTATATCAGTAAGTTATTAAAAGTAACTCAAAAAGACTCTTGGGGAATTTGTCCCTTCGCTGGTTGTACCAGTACCTTAATACTTCGGTGTACTGCTCTTCGTTATATATTCTCTCCCGTTTACCGGTAACATACCTCATTGTCAAAATTTCTTTTTTCTTAAGAATTTCATTAAAAGTTTCCTTCAATGTATCACAATGTTCCTTTATACACTTTAAACAAAAATTCTATGGACATATGATTGCAGGACTGCGAGGTAATTCGTGTATGCCCGTTGATAACTGATGTAAGTATGCCTCGGTGCCACGAATACAATGCCTTTTTGTTACAGCTGGTAAATCATTTAAGATAATTACTTTTCATTATTTTCTTATATTTTATATCTGATTTGGACCAAATGTAAATGATTGAGCAGGACAATTGCATGTACCTCTAAATGTCCATGTAAGTGAATATTTCTGCACCGGATTATTCTGACGTTTTATCGACTTTTTTTTATATCTGTCTGTCGTCGATTAACGTCAGAACTCCGGCACTCTATAACATGCGGGAAATAAGCGACTTGCGCCAGGGTCGCTCTTCAAACTCATGTTTTAGAAACAAATCGTCACTTTCACACACATATGCACTAGGTGGTATCACGGACTTAGATAATTCTGTGGTGGTATCAATATCATGTTTCAAAGATCATTACGAACAGTATTTTCCAACGTTTTCTATACCAACCCATGTTTTTAATAGAAATTAGGGCATGAGCCATGTCACATGACTTGACGAGATCTCGCGTTACCGAAGGTATTTCCCAAAGTTATGACGAGATTTTAGTCACGTGGCATTTGAAGGCGGGGCTATCAAAAACGTTAAGTAAAAGAAAGTTTGAAAAAATATGTTTTTAGTGATTGTATTGGTTGTTTGAGGCATGTTATGTATGTTCATCTTGTGCATAAAGAATAGATCTTTCGATCCATGTGCGACATGTGTGTGAAAAAGACGATTTGTTTCTAAAATACCAGTTTGAAGAGCGACCCTGACGCGGGTCGCTTATTTCCCGCATGTTATAAACGGTCGGAGTTCTGACGTTAATCGACGACAGACCGATATAAAAAAAAAAGTCGATAAAACGTCAGAATACTTCGTAATACGGATTACTGTTATACAGCAGATCGTGAATATGTGAGAGACAGTGGACGTCTAATGTATTGCAATTGTTATTTGTAGGTTTTGTGTAGTCTCCAATAAGAAAAATTATAACCATATAAATGTTTGACTGTATAGTATCAAAAACCATATTGTGAAGTTATGGGGTTATGCGAGTAACTGACAAAATGTAATTACCATAACAAGTTAGATCGCGTGCCATGGTATGTAAGTGATCACCATGCTATCTCATAATAAGGGTCTCGCTTCTGAATTAGAGACAAATTTGGTATGTCTAATTCCCCGGAAGTGACGTACCTGATCCATGTTAGGGACCAATGGACAGTTGTCGCAGGCGTCCCCGTACTTGTCCCCGTCCGTGTCCAGTTGATCCGGGTTCCCCACTAGCTCGCAGTTGTCGTCTTGATTGAATACCCCTGTCAATCATATAATCGAAGCGTCGGCATAGAGATAAACAGGACATCGTATTCCGGAAACAGGTCCGAAATAACGAGTAGTAAAGCAGAGTGAAATGACAAAAACCTAGGTACCAGGTCAACCCTGTCTGATTAATTCAAAGCTGTAATCTTGTAAATATTGGAGAGTATATTGCAATGTTATAGCTAAGATTTTATAGAAATTATGTATATCAAGTAGAGTGAACTATGAAATGGGAAACAAAAAGTATTTAAAGACTATCTCAGAATTTAATAATAGAGGGAGAATAACTCTTGGTTTAAAAGTAGGCTGCTTGTTTTTTTCTCCCCATTATAACTATTGTGAATAAGGCCCAAAGGGAGATAATCGATAAATAAGGGGAGATCGTTAAAAAAGAAGTTAATTATTTCCAATCTTTACAATAATGTAACTAATGTAATAATTTTTAAAACTTACATTTAAACTAGCTGTCGATGTATTTAAACGTATTTGAAAACGGTGACCTTGAAAGAAGGTTTAGGTGAGTTATTCAAAGAATTTAGAAGAATCTTTTTACATGTAAAATCGGACGGACAACGGACGCTACAGTACGTTATAAATTTATGAAAATCACGTGATAATGACGTTAGATACCGTCATTGTCCTTGTCCGGGTCACATATGTCGCCGATACCGTCCCCGTCAGTGTCCATCTGGTCGGCGTTAGGGACGCGCGGACAGTTGTCGCACGCGTCCCCTTGTATGTCCGAGGTATCGTCATCAGCCTGGTTGGGGTTCGATACGTACGGGCAGTTGTCCTGGAAAATAACAAGGTCAAGGTCGACACGATCAAATCAAGTATCCAAGGAAGTGCGGAAAGGAAATGTGTGAGATTGAGATTTTGGATTCGTCACGTATTTTGTCTCAAACTGTGCAGACCGAATGCTGAGTTGAGTTTTGGTTGGCTAACAATACAGTCTCTATATAACAAAATTCATTAATGATTCAGATACGAACAAACTATGATCTAAAATGAGGTAGGTGCTTCTCGAAAGAAAGTATATGGGCTCATGATCAGTACACATATCATATGAAAACACCTATCGTTTTACATCAAAACAACATTTACATCGCTAACTTAGGCATGGCATCATATCTCCAGCTGCGTACCACATTTAGTCTCGTTCAACCAGACGCTGGATCACTTGTAATTCAAGAGTCTCTCTGTTCGTAGTCTCGTTCAACAAGACGCTTGGTCTCTTGTGATTCAAGAGTCTGGTCAAACACAATACTTTAAAATTACCATCACCAGTTTTTACTTTCGTTTCCCAACGGTATGTCATAATGAAATTAATGCATTCCTGAAGTACCCGTGTATTCACTATTATCGAGAACAATGTAAGTAAACGTGTCAAATCTCCAGAAAATGCCATATATTTCCCCTGAATAAATCATAACTGAGCACAAAGCCAACAAGGCTGACTGAGGTTGGAAAAAAGCATGCAAAGCAAGTGAGATTTTACCTGTACACAATTGAAAACACTGCAGGTTCTCACTCAGGTAATATGGCTTAACTTGTAGGAATAGCCTTGCTTCATAAATTATTTTCTTACATTTTTCTCGATAATAGTGAAAACACGGATACTTCAGGAATGCATGTACAGTGTAAGTGTTTTCATGAATTAAAATATTCAATGTAATTTTGCGCCACTAAAATTCTGACTTCAAAAGTTGAAAATGGTGTGTCTACCTTTGACAATTGAAATCATTTACCAGAATTCTGGTAAGCCTCGTTACAAAACGATAGCACCGGGTTTGACCAGACTCTCTGTTCGGCGTAGCTAGCGCAGACAACAAGAGTCTGGTTGAACGAGACTACTTTGTTCGGCGTAGCTTTAGTCTCGTTCAACCAGACTCTTGTTGCCTGCGCAAGCTACGTCGAATCCTGAATTACAAGTGATCAATCGTCTGGTTGAACGAGACTAGCGTAGCTTGTGCAGACAAAAAGAGTCTGGTTGAACGAGACTATACCACATTACGTTGAAGCTACCAAAAGTACGAGTTATCTCCTGTTAAAGGTATACATTGTATATGTATAAAACATACTTCAATCGCTGCCAAAACGATCGCAATGGGAAATACTCAGTCGATCGAAGTTTATACTACACTTATACATCGAATTTGGTGCGGTTATGACGTTATCCTAAACGTTTACCGGAGAATTGATGATGCCATCATTGTCTATGTCGTCGTCGCATGCATCGCCGATACCGTCCGAGTCCGTGTCCTCTTGACCACTGTTTGGGGTCAACGGGCAGTTGTCCTGCAAACATAGAGTAACGTATTGTTAAATAAAAAAAGCTTACAAAATTAATGTGAGAGTCAAAATTGTAAATTAAATATGTCAAGTTTTTACAGCCCTAGGTTTCCATTCAGTCATGTACATGTACATGATTTAAGTTTATAGTATATTGTACAAATATCGTACATGTATAAGAAAGTATGCACACATGAAAAAAGTTAAATATGAATATAGTGTGAAATTCATTAGTAAATTGGAGTAAATACTGTTTCAAAACTTGTCCTTAATAAATGTAAAATACAGGTGAAATTAGAATAAAGGGTCGTAGTTTTTGCAATCTTGAAATGGAGGGTAGAATAAATTGAAAACTGAATCGGACTTGCCCGCTTACACCTGCCGCCCGTACAGGCAATCGTCTTATCAGGCCAGCTGTCGACATCTGTATCCTTCCCGCATACAAACCCGTCACCCGCATACCCGATACCGCACTGTAACAAAAATAGTACACAACCCGTCACCGGCATACCTGATACCGCACTGTAACGAAAATAGTACACAACCCGTCACCGCCATACCCGTAACCGCACTGTAACAAAAATAGTACACAACCCGTCACCGCCATACCCGATACCGCACTGTACGAAAATAGTACACAACCCGTCACCGCCATACCCGATACCGCACTATAACGAAAATAGTACACAACCCGTCACCGCCATACCCGTTACCGCGCACTGTAACAAAAATAGTACACAACCCGTCACCGCCATACCCGATACCGCACTGTACGAAAATAGTACACAACCCGTCACCGGCATACCCGATACCGCGCACTGTAACAAAAATTGTACACAACCCGTCACCGCCATACCCGATACCGCGCACTGAAACAAAAATTGTACACACCCCGTCACCGCCATACCCGATCCCGCACTGTAACAAAAATAGTACACACCCCGCCCCCGCCATACCCGATACCGCACTGTACGAAAATAGTTCACAACCCGTCACCGCCATACCCGATACCGCACTGTAACAAAAATAATACACAACCCGTTACCGGCATACCCGATACCGCACTGTAACAAAAATAGTACACAACCCGTCACCGGCATACCCGATACCGCACTGTAACAATAATAGTACACAACCCGTCACCGGCATACCCGGTACCGCACTGTAACTTGTGTATCCTGTATTTTTAGAATTAAGAGTATCGTATATCAAGCCATATTATCGTATTCGTCCTTCTGTGTTTAAATTAATAGAGCTACTGTCTAGCGAAATTAAGAGAAGTCGTATATTATGAAATATAAGCTGTATCAAGGTCTTGCAATAAACGTTCTGTTACTGTATAATGCGATTGAGATCTATGTCTTCTACTTCACAATGAGTTATAATCTCATTTCATTATATAATATATAGTACTCGTTCTACCTTCATGTTGAGGTTGTATGATTGACTTTGAAGTTTTGTTATTTCCTAGAAATTTGGTTAGATTAAGGCTTTATTTGTATTATTTCATAAACAACTAAAGTATGCTTCATAAGAGTCCGCTAAGTTACCCTAGGGAAAACCTTAAAGTTTTCCCTAACTTATGATTATTTCATGAATTTGTTATTGTTATGTATGGAATTGAATCTATTGCATATGTTCTCCGCCATTGTACAAGATATTTGTAAAGTATTTATCTATATGTATATTTCTGTACGCCTATATGCAATGTGCATTTGATAATAAATTAAACTGAATTGTCGTCAAACACAACTTATACCGAATACCACACTCGTATCCGGTACTGCGCTGAAGCGAAAATTGTTAACGAACCGTTATCCGCATACCCGGTTCTGTACCTTTTTTTAGAATGAGCGAAAGAAAAATGCTAAGCCACGAATGCTGATAATTATATGAATCTAGATTGCAAAAAAGCAATCAAAAGTATATATTACAATGAAAGTCTGAGAAGTAAAGGTAAAATTAACCATACATGTACGATCGACTAGGTTACCTGACAAACGAATCCTTTTATCCCTCTGCGCAGGATACACCGCGCATTAATGTCACATTCGGAAATCCCATCTGGGCACTGTGTTCCTAATTTTCGGCATCCAAATGTTTGATTTCCAATGAAGCCATCGTCACAATCTCCACATACAAAACTTCCCTGGAAACAAAACCATAAATTAGAGATATTCGTGAGACCTTAACAACTAATTTTAGTTACAAAATTCTACCAAACGAGCCTACATTCCGGAATATGAGAAAAACATGTGGGCATTGGACAACCTGATATCGGATTATTCAGAATAATGTATCAGATATGTCATACCAGTAATCATGTATAAATTGTGCTAAAATTATGGCCATACATGTAAGGTTGTATGCTACCGCACACACTAGACCTGTGACTTGTTTTACAGTTAAGGCTACATGCCACCTTGTATGATAAGTGTGATTTGTGCGACATGTGCTACCTGTGTTGCTACATTGACGCTACACTGACAATAAGCGCATGCTCTTTAGTTTGAAGTCGAGACTTATAGTTGTGATAAAATCTGGTTACTGACCACAGTGTTGACACAGACAGAGTGTTCTGTACATCCACCGGTCATCTCGTCTAGGGTGACACATTCGTCTATGTCCTCACACACCTGTCAATAAAACAATCATACGTCAATGATGGGAATAATTTGCCAAATGACAGAGAATCACCTAAATTTATCGAATAATTCGTTTCCGCTGGAACAGTTTTTCAGAAGATGGTACGATGTAAGTAGTACACTTAGTACAGAGTAAACACATAGATACACCACCATTAATGTACAGCGTAAGTTTAAAAAAACAGTTTATACATTTCAAAGATGAAAGTACATGTAATACACATTCTACAGTTTTATAATTTCAGAAAACCGTTGACGTTTTTTAAAGAAAATACATCATTTTCATAAAATATTTTTCATCAATAGGTTCATCGATGAATGTATACTTTTCGTCATAGACAGCTCTAATTTCCGGTACAGGTTGCTCCAAAGTACGGCAGCATGTGCGACTGAAACAATCCCCCAAACGGTGAACGTCAACAATAGCAACAGGTAGATAACGTTGTTTACCTGTGTCTGGTTCTGTGCCATTTCCACACCAAAGCCCCCTACGTCATTTCCGATGTAACCTGCCGGACAATCGGAACACCGGAAGCCAGGGACCGTATCGATACATTCCGCTAGATCTGAACACGGGTTGTGGTGTTCACACTGCAAACAGAGCCGAAGGAAACGATTTGTCAGTATCCTGTGGACTATAATTTCGTTTCGTTATATTATAATTAAGTGGAGTAGGGTAGATGTACTTACTAAGGATGCGTTTGCACGTGCAGAGTGAGGGTATTGAAGGCTCTTACCTTTATAGAGGCGTTACCTGTATACGTCAACGACAAGATTGTTACACAACAGGACGGACGCATTATAATTCTATGTTGTTTTTTGACATATGTAGAATAATAAAGGCAGCAAAATATCAGTCACTGGTTTGTGTAGGAAGAAATATCTGTATTTTTCAGTAGTAAGTAGAAGTATGCTTTTATTGTTATTAATAATATTCTGTTGCAGAATCTGAATGTTACTTGTGCTCAACAGTTTTCTACAAGAACCTGTACTTGGGAACGTGTCAGAGGACCGTCAGAGTGTGGACATTTAAGACGTATTTAAGCCTTTTGATATGCTAAGTCTCTCAATGTTTCATTTAGGTCATTACTACATAGATATATCATTGATATGCTAGTTTTTCTCTTCGACCTTCGATTTAATATATTATTCAGTGTAATAATCACACATTGCTAGCTATAGTATATAAAGGAACTATAATTTAAAAATGAAATGACTTATGCACGGATGGGTAACGAAAGAGAACTTTAGTAGTGTTCGGTTCAGTATCGTTAAACTACAAGATACAGTCGTACCATCACCGAAACTATGGATTAATTCAAAAGGTAAATTGACCAACTACCATACACAAGGTGATACACATGTAGACATTACATTATTTTTAAGTTTTGCAAGAAGTTATGGTTCAAATATCAATTTATAAAACTTCCTATTTGAGTTGTTTTATATATAATTTTGTTCGTCCTGTGTTTTGCTTGTTTGTTTGCTGTTGTTTGCTGTTGTTTGCCACATAGGTAGGCAACAGACAAGATGTCAAGTCTTTTTGATTATTTTTTGATTTCTTTTATGTTAATTTCCTTGGAAGACATCAGAGTTATCTAGAATTTGTCCATTTTAACAACGTTAAGTATTGTAGGTTATGTATTACAAACCTCATTGACATTGGTACAGACTGTACCGTTGCCTTGAAAACCAATGGGACAATGTCCGCATAGGAACCCCTCATCTGTATCGGTGCATTTGACCCCCGGGAAACAGGGGCTAACGTTACATCCGATCCTTACGATTACACAGCCGTCGCTTAATCCGTCACCTGTCATGCCCGGGGGGCAGGGACCACAAACAAACCCTTCAAGTGTATCGATACACTCTACTCCGTTGTAACAGGGATCAGTTTCGCATCCAATCCTTATCACTTGACCACCACCCTTCAACCCGTCCCCTGTCATGCCCGGGGGGCAGGGACCACAGTCGAACCCTTCAAGTGTATCGATACACTCTACTCCGTTGTAACAGGGATCAATTTCGCATCCAATCCTTATCACTTGACAACCACCCTTCAACCCGTCCCCTGTCATGCCCGGGGGGCAGGGACCACATATGAAACCTTCAAGTGTATCGATACACTCTACTCCGTTGTAACAGGGATCAATTTCGCATCCAATCCTTATCACTTGACAACCATCCTTCAACCCGTTCCCTGTCGTGCCCGGGGGGCAGGGACCACAGACGAACCCTTCAAGTGTATCGATACACTCTACTCCGTTGTAACAGGGATCAATTTCGCATCCAATCCTTATCACTTGACAGCCACCCTTCAACCCGTCCCCTGTCGTGCCCGGGGGGCAGGGACCACAGTTGAACCCTTCTAGCGTGTCCACACACTCTACTTCAGGGGAACAAGGACTGGTTTCACATCCAATCCTTGTCACGTGACAACCACTCCTCCGTCCGTCGCCGGTCATACCAGGAGGGCAGGGACCACATCGGAATCCCTCGAGTGTGTCCGCACAATCAACTCCCCGGAAACAGGGATTAGTTTCGCAACCGATCCTAATTACTCGGCAACTACCTCTCCTCCCGTCCCCTGTCATGCCCGGGGGACACGGGCCACATTGGTAACCAGCACGCGTGTCCTCACATGTAACACCTACAAAAATGAATTGACTTGTTAAAATATATGCTCGCCGATTTTTAAGAAACAGCATTCAAAAATATCACACCACTATGGTTATCTAATGCAGCGGAATGGGGGTTGGGGATTAAATTCGAAAATGCGGAATAAGAAGCAGATCTTAGACGGAAAACGATAGGTTGGACGAGACAAGTTGATCCCAGTATACAATATTTTCGAATATAAGAAAGCTGCTGCACGTACCCTCGAAACATGGTTTAATTGCGCAGGTAGGCGGAAGTTCACAACGCATGCCATTCCCAAGATATCCCCTTGGACATGCGCCGCACCGGAAACCACGCTGTGAATCCACACATCTTACACCCCGGAAACAAGGGTTGAGTGCGCATGTCCGTTTTGGCGGAAGCGGAAGCTCTCTACCTGAAAATGTGGACAGTTCTCATCCACAAACTTATTACACGTGTTCCAAAGTGACATTGCACTGAAGTGCATGTATATAATGTAATACTACAATTCAAAGGGTTGTTTCTGCTGGTGATAAGAACGAAATTATTCTGCGTTGTCATGACATTGAAAATACATGTATGTGACGTAGAATTGTGTTACTGAAAGATACTGTACCAAAGACTTGGGTGATATGATCACAAGGAATGCTAAACTCACGTTAATCCAACGAGAGTTGTTACGAGAATGACTTACTCACGTCTAACCTGCGAGACTTATTACATATATGCATAGACAATCGCGAAAATGAAAGACTTACGCCTGTCCTGTTGCGACAATACTGTGGTGGGGCCACGACACATGCTGCATTGGCGCAAGGTCTCGCGCAGGTACCTCGTCTCCGTCGTCTGTTCACATGTAAAACATGCTTATGTCATACATTTGTATGTAGAGATGATAATGCATTTTCAGAATAATATTTAGAAGAAGATATCACCACATATAAACCCACTGCATTCAATTTAGAAAAGTTGGTATGTAATAATCACCAAGCTCTTTCAAGTACGTATACATAGTGGTATACTTTATCATATATGAAGCAATTGGGATGAGTACATATCTTACTTTACATAACTAGACTTCAAACACTGAAAGTCTCAACCTTAAAACAAGTATATAGTATACAATGTAGTTAGAGAGTTCGACACTTCTGGCGAGTAAGCATGTGTCAAAGACAGCAGTGTACAGTCATTCAAAGGAGACTCTCTGTAGAGTATCTGCAATCTGATTGGTTGAAACAGAGGTTCATACCTGCATTTGAATCTCCCTCTGAAGCTGCCGGACTGTGTAACCCAAGTCCCTCATGGTAGTAGCCAATGTCTGGAACTGATGGTAGTCTGTCGAAAGTACATGTACCAACAACTACAGAAAATTGTCTCTTCAACTTTTATTTTTTTGTTAAATTTTTTTTTTTTTTTTTTTTATTTGTTTATTTTTCAAAGTATTTTTCACATTACAGTAACATATACATTTCATTATACATAATGAATCCCACTTTCACACATACTTTCATACTAATTAATATTGCTATTTTGTAAGTGGTATTTTATTTTATTGTAATGTTATATTAGAAAGGAAGGAAAATCAAAAAAGAGAAACAAGAAAACAAAGAAATAGAGGAAATAAAGATAGGTAAATGGACAGAAAGAAAGACAGACAGACAGACGGAAAGATAGACAGACAAGAGGAGAAGTACCAGTATTAAACAGACCAATTAAAAGGATAGAAGTCTGGTAATATATAGGTGTCAGTAGCTAAGTAATTAAGATAATACATTGAATGTTTAAATTTTGTCTCTTTTTTTTCAAATAAATTAAAATTATATCAAACATATAAACAATCGGCAAAAAGTAGGTCTAGGAAATATCAATAAGCCTTTTCCATTTTTTCCACTCATTCTGGAAGTTAATGAGATATATTTCGTCTTTGCTATTTGCAATATATTTTCGAATACTGTAATGTTCTTTAATTGAACTTTTAATTCCTTGTATAGATAAAGGCACTTTAAGACATCTTGCCTTGTATATATACTGTTTTATTATTAAAATAATACTATTGTCACTTTTATTAAGTCCATTATAGTTATAAAAACCAAAAAGAAAGGTTTGTGTATTATAATCAAATGGAATAATCAATGCATCTAATATGAACTCAAAATTTTGTAAAAGATTTTGTACTTTGTCACATTCCCATAATACATGCTCTATTGTTTCTATTTCTAGTTTACACAGTTCACAGTAAGGGCTATCTACTATTCCTGCCTTAAACAAATATGCATTAGTTGTCAAAATATGCTGATTAATTATGTACTGGAACCACTGTAATTTGGGATATTTCGTAATTCTAAATGGCATTATATATATTTTTTTCCAAACTTCATCATCAAATTGAAATATATCATCCCATTTTTTTTTACCTGTTGAAATAGTATCATTTTTACAAAATGAGCTATAAAAATCTCTTGTCCCCTTTTTGTTTTTCAAAAACATTTCTATATTAATTGGTAAAAATGGATAGTTAACCTCTACATTTGACATATCTTGTTTTGTTAAAATGGGTAATGCCTGATTTTATCCCATCCTTAGGAACTTGATTCCAATATTGTTTTGAAAATTACTTCAACGCAGAATCACATATCTCGAATAAAAAAAAAGATATATATATTTCCACCAAACCATATGATTCTGATAGCATTTATTTTCATTGTTATTGTTTGAAACATTTCTGAATTTTACTTTTTCTCTACGTTCCTGTTTTTTTTTCGTAACGAACACATTTTCATTTATTGAATCATAGGGTTCGCGTCTTTGCAGCATTGCAGCAGCTAAGAACGACGGTAAAATCAGTTAGTCATTATATGATAGAAATAACCAGGGTGGAAGAGTATTACAGAAGTCACGTGACATTATTTTTTACCTGGTTGCGGAACTGCAACAGGAACTTCATTGTAACTGTTCCGGTCACGTGTTAACCGATCATCCCCATCGTAATAGTTTCTGTTAACCGGCGGAGGGCGCAACGGGACCTCGTTTGCAATGTTGTCCGTGTCAGGACGCGTGGGCAGTGTGAGTATCCGGTCTGGAATGACGTCACACCCCTGGTTATCAAAGACGGCCTCAACAGAAGGGCTCGTATACAGATTGAAAGCATCGTCTTTCGTCTGCAAATCAATTCATGGCATTTGAAATAACAATAATAAGGCGGTTAATTGTTTTGTGGAAACAAATCTATTATTTATTTTTGTATATTTATAATTTTACACATGAAATATTTAATATATTTATATGAGTAATCACAGAGTTGTCACTAATACCTGAAACGAGACAAAAATGTGAAGAATGGGAGAAGTAGTTTACAAGTACTTATAGATTCCTTGTCCTCTGCACTTGAAAAACATTCAACTGCTATAGACTTACGACTGTAGGTTCTCCCAGTAGTCCCTCCGTTAGCGGAACTTCCGTGTTGTCCTGCGCAATAAGTTCACAGTTGATGTATATTGCTATACCATTTGATGTGGATCCTAATCTGCTTAAATGAATTATCAACCGGAAGGACTCCCGCTGTTGTAGTTCCTGAACCGGAAACGTTAACTTGTAGCTTCGGCTGTCTCTGGAGCGCATCCGGATAACAACTGTACCAAAGAAGGCAACAACAGACTGAAGATTAATACCCAATAGTCTATATTAATTGTAAGTATTCATTTTTGACTGTTTCCGAGAGCCCCGTTCAAGCGTTCATTTGACCTCTTTCGTTATTTTTAAACAAATTAACATAATTACATGCAGCATTGATACTAAAATGTATTTGGTAATAAAACAATTGTCTCAATGCTATTTTGGGAACAGTCAAAACTACCATCCCTCGCTAGGGTTTTCGCGCAAACAGTTCCCCAGGGCTCCCCCCTACCTCAGGATGATAGTTTTGACTGTTCCCCAAATAGCCATTAAACAATTGTATCCTGTTAAGTTTTACTTGTCATTATCATTTTTGTATTTGATTTTTCTTCATTTCAGTATGGTAACAAATAAGAGAAGATAATACGCATAAATGTCCCATTAATAACAGTACAAGGAAGCTTAAAGGGAAACAGTCGATTTGTGAATATCAACAGCTTTGTTATTAACTGTTGTCCACTCGGTCCTCTGACAGACTTACCCTCGTGTGTGTTAAAGTCGACATATATCACCAAGTTAGTACCCAGCTCACTGTTTTCCGCTCGGAAAATCCCAAACAGTCCATCCTGACTCTTCACTAGTCCCGACAAATACAAATCTGAGTTAAGAATAAACGCTGGACCGGTGTTCTCGTCCGTCACTGAAACATTACACAGGAATTGACGTCAGTTACCCTCGGTTTATAACTAAGAGCTTCTAATTATCCAGTCTCCTTATATATTAATCTAAAACATTCCTTGCAATTCCTATATGTTTGAACAGTCAAAGGAAATAAGATGGGGAAAAGATAAAAGGTGTCATACTGGAGAAGTAACTGAGGACCTGACTGGTCGGGAATTTACTCTGGATTTATTTTATATTAATCGAGGGTCTTTAATTGGTGTTATTCGAAGATCGAGATGTTCAATTGTAACCATATCTTATGTGAATGCAATGAAAATCTTTCAGCTTTGAGTCAACACTGTCTTCAACGTACGTCACAATGTATGTGGATAACCATTGTGGTAGGTAGGGGAATCGTGGTACTTTTCGTTAGGTACGGAAGTAAGGAGTGATGAGAGGCACCTTAGTACCGATATCAATAAGTGTATCCGTGTTTCTCTTTTATTTGGTCATAAAATGTCATAACCCAGCGGAGGAAACTAAGAAATACACAGAGTTCTAAATAAATCAAACAAGTAAAAACGGAATATAATAACACGAAATGGATGATTGAGGAAAGTATTTTATCAAAGATACGAGGTTGAATGACGGGTTTGACATTGATTCATGAAAAAGTCTGCATGCGTAGCTTGCTTCCCGGACCCTGACTGGACGTAACACAAGTATATGTAAGGTAGTTTTGGAACCTACCCAGAAAATAAAATAATTAATTGTCTAGATTTGCTAAAATCAGTCACTGTATATTTGTCGTATTAAGCGTAGAAATATTCTCTATGTTAATGTCAAAATACTTTCAGATTTCGTATGTCACCTTTTCACGATTCTTTGTCAAAATAATAAATTTAGTGTTATTTTTATCAAACGGCATTTACATAGAACATGACATTTCATTAAACACTGATGAAAATATTAATGAAATAAATTGCATCGTGTAACTGTATATATATATATAATTGGTACATCACGTCCGCGAAACATATTATCGCGTGCACTTCTAATTGCAGTTTTAGATTAGAACGATATATTTACTTCGTTTAATCTCAGACGTTTACATCAAACACGTATTTGTCTTCCTCGAACAGCTGACATCTTGATACACTTATCACACAGGGTAAACACCACTTGAGATGAATTACTACCTAATCGGTGTCCGGGTAAGGAATTTCCTCTTACCAAAACCTATCACACTGAACGTAAAAGCCACCATTCTCTGACGCAGGTCAGGGATCAAGTTGTATATAACGTTAGATTAACTTTACATAAACGCGAAAAATGAATGTTTTGAATTTTTAAAGATTTCTTAAAACTGAATATCAAATGCACGTTTCGAGATTATTACAATTACAAAAATGCATGAGAAGCAACAAAAAGGAATAAGAAAACAATTCGAAATTTTGACAAACTTGCATGTCATTTAAAGCAGTCAAATTCTGACATAGTCTGGTACAATGTACGAGTATAAAGCATTATCAGTTTAAGCGTTGGTTGATCACGTTTTAATGATTCATTCAAATATTTAGTTTGTAATTTTTGCTACGATATTTCCTGTCTTTATCAGATCCGTAAGTAAATGATTTGTTTTGGAGATTTAAATCGAAATACAATACACGAGAAATTGTGTTAGTTTGGCGTTGGCCGTAACTGACCCTGTACCCTGGACGTATTGTTGCCCAGCTGGGGATAGGGATACGTTATAGTAAGAAACATGTGTTCAACATCGTGACTGAATACATGTATGGAAAGGTCAAAGGGTCAATACGATCAAGCACGTGCACACTTGCTTTGTTTTTGTCAAAAAACATTAACAACAACATAAACAACGAAACCTCCCACGTGCCTATCTCTACAGCTGAGGTAACGTGAACCCTTCCCGTGTCAACAGGAGCATGGACTGGTTCGACAGGATACGATGTACGAACTTAAACCCCGTCAGCACATAAGGGTCATGCCAGGCCAAACAGTAGATAAACAGTCGTCTACAAACAATCCACGAACAAAATTTATGAAACGATGGAAAAGTAACAGATAACGAGCCATCAACCTCGGTTTCTTATTGGTGACAAAGAACACAAGAACACAGCACACGGGGATTGACAAAACACGTGTCATTGCTTTTGGTATGGAAACACACGGGCAGTACGGGTCAACATTTGTACACGTTATCAAAGTGATATTGTGGAAGTATAAATGCATATTAAACATTTTTGACTATTTTCTCAGAATAATTGAAAAAAAAAAAACGTAAGCCGAACATATGAAGAGTTTTTTTATGCTTTATCATCCAATAGTCAAAACAAAACCCGATTAGTTGTTTTTCTCAGCCTACGAGTTGTTGCTCGCTTCTGTTAGCCAATCAGAATTTTTCAGACAACAGTCAAAACTATTGCCCGGTCAATAGTTTTGACTATTTCCTGGTTATCTCTAATTGACAGAAGCCCGCAACAGCCGATCAATTTTAGTCTGGAGAAATTTTTCGCATAAAGCGGGGCTATCTTAACATAAAAAGTGAGGGGTAACGTAGTTCTGGTCAGTTTATGTCAGCGTATATATCCGCTATCGCCTTTTCACTCATTCCGTTTGTAAATAGACTGCATGACCATTTCATTCATGTTGTATTTCATAATTGTTCGTTATTTTGGCATATCTAAGAATTGATTTGAAATGCATTTCAAAGCAGAAAGATGATAAATGGATTTACGCTTTTTGCACGAAAGGATAAACAAAAAAAATAAGACAGACGCAATTTCAATAAACAAGATGTTTGTTACAATCAGTGGAGTGAACAGTAGAAAGCGACGCCATAATTTTAACAGAACTTTGTGACAATTGTATCGATATCGATATAAACAATAGAAAAACTTACTTATTAATATCGTCTAACAGATATCACATGCTGATAATCCAGCACGGGTAAACGTAAGCTCGTGGAATATACATCCAATTAATCTAGATTTACTTGTTTTTTGCACATGTAATGTAAATCTGTCCGTAGCTATCAATACAGAAGTATTCATCAAATTCAGCAACAGGTTTTGAGAAAAATATAATTATTGTAAAATATAGTATGTATGTCTTGTTAAATGCTATTATATAAATATAGCATTAGAGGAAAGGGCGTCGATAAGTTGATATACACAGTAACTTGTGTCTAATCATCTGCTCAAATTTGGGGCAATACATATGTTTAAATCAATGATAAATCAGAAATTTTTGTAAAAACCTACGAAGTATTGAAAATGTATAATATTTTTAGCTGTAACAAATATCTACATATTTATTATACATATTGCATGAATAACACACGAACAGGTTTCAGGAATGTAACCTATGTCTCTTTTCCTACCTTGGTGGACTTGAGCAAACACCGAGCAGATAAATCCAAGGAATAAACAACGCAGAAGAGGCGAACACGTCATATTTGTGGCCAATTCTCACGAAAACACAACTTATCCTTTCGGGCGGAATGGCGGGGGTGTTCGGAGGGAACAGCTTCAGGGCGTATCACAAAAAAAAACTTAGTTTCCTTTTGATGAAAACATTTTATACACCATATTTAAGTGTAGCACGCTGTGAAAGCGACCTGCTGAAACTCAGTCAAACGTTTAACGGGTAACCTTATCCGGCAGTGTTAAATGTAAGGTCTGTCACTAGCATACAGGCTACAATGTTTAGCTGGGTCGACAGTGTAGTCAGGCGCATTACTAATAGTCTACTTGCTGTCGGTGGTTTATACTTGGTTCCAGAATTATTGTAAGAAATGTCAGCAATGTTCCTGCTATGATACCCTTTGTTTGTACGTAAGTCACGTGATAGATGGGAAGGGACGTAAGTCACAGTGATAGATGGGGAGGGGAGACTGATTTACGGGTAATGGTCTGTGGTGCTGCTGCCTTACTCATCAGACGTGGGGGTAGTTGATCCAAAAATTTTCTCGAAACACAATAACAGCAAGTGTCTTCATCATACTGAGTGTATTATAAAGGAAGTGCCGTTGTTTTTATCCCCACTTCAATTAATATGAAAAATGAGAAGAGTGGAAATATGACAAGAAAAAAGTTATAGCTATGCAGTTTGCTAAGATCTTGGGATATATTAAGTTTCGCCTTTGCAAGCGAAAAGAATATGATAACAGTTGACAAATAAACCAACACAACCTAAACATCTTGGAGGATGAGTTGATTGAGCGGTCGGAGGGTGGGGATGAGCAGTTAAGGGGTGGAGTGGGGTGTGGTGGGGGCTGG